GCGGCAGGGGGCTGTCTTGCCTGGGGCAGCACAGAGTGTAAATACGCCGCTGCATGTCAGGCATCTCGCCGCGGGGGGTGAATGTAATTTATTGGTGTGAGTGCACTGTATTGTTATGTAGTGTTTTTGCGCTGCGTCGCAGTACAGGGTAGAATGTACCCCCGAATGTGTAGTTTGTTTTTTGTATATTTAATTTGCATTAATAAAGTATATCATTCAATAAAAAAAAAAAACTTGCGTGCCCTGTAGAGGTGCCGGGAGCCAGAATGTGACGTCGCTCTAGTCCAGGCACCTCTACAGGACACACGAGGGAGCTGTATGTATGGATGGAGCTCCCTGGCAGCCATAGCCGCGGCCCACTGCGCCTCAAGCTTACACTCGGTGCCGGGCAGCATATTTTGGCGTAAGAACTGACAGTGCTGCGAAAGGTGGAGACTGAGGAGCCTCTCACCTAGAAATTGGAAGGCTCACTGTGACCCACTGAACATGGGGTCACGACCCACCAGTTGAGAACCAAGGATTTAGACCATAGTAAGTTCTCTCTGGGTGCGCATGTGTGTGCAAATCAATAATTATTCTGTAGAGTTTTATTCCTTTTGATAACTTTTTGTAATTAACATTTTTATTTTTTAAATCAATGAAGACGTCTATGTGTTTGTTTTTTTAACTGTTAAAAAGTTTAACTTCTTTGAAAAAAATGACACCCATTAAGTTAAAACAAAGGAGTACCAATGGCACAGAACTACGGAAGGAAAACATTCCAAATAATTCTACAAAATCCTACTGGTTATTAGTGGTGTCCAAGCTGGAAAGTGAACCTTCCATGAAAAATAAAGGTCTGCTTTCCTGACAGCCTCTAGATACAAATCTGTCTAATAATGTCTGTAAAATGTAAAAGTGAGGCACGATGATGTCACATGAACCTCCCAGAAGCATCAGACGGCGGAGCAGAGATCACTTAATTTTATAAAGGTTTATTTTTTATCAGGTTTTTTTTTTTTTTACCAATATGTGTTTGGGGTATCAGTAAAAAAAGTATTTCATTATCCATGGAGGTTCACATTTTTAAAGTTACTGTGTAAAAATTATTTGCCTCTGTTGTCAAGCAAATGCTTCTTTGAATTTAAATTGGGGCGACAAATAATTATGTAGCATTTTGGAAGAAATATACAAAATAGAAGTCCGGCATTTGAGGTCAGTATAGCAAAAATCTCCACAGCCGCTACATATTTCCCTTTGGTGCTCAGATAGGCCGGGATCATGGAAATCCAGACACTGCAGAACACCAGCATGCTGAAGGTGATGTACTTGGCTTCATTAAAACTGTCCGGTAATGTCCTCGCTAGAAAAGCTGTAATAAAACTGACAGCAGCCAGGATCCCCAAATATCCCAGGACAGAGTAGAACCCAATGACTGACCCTTCATTACACTGAACGATGATCTTTGTGTGGTAGGAGCGTGTGTCCAGCTCTTGGAAGGGGGGAGAGATCGCCAGCCATACAATGCAGATGACAACTTGGAATGATGAGCAGATGAAGACAGCAAAATTGGGCAGTTTTACTCCAACCCACTGTTTCCACACACTGCCCTGTTTGGTGGCGTTGAAAGCAAGCCAAACCATTACAGTCTTGGCCAACACACAGGAGACCGCGATGGTAAAAAGAATTCCGAAAGACACTTGGCGTAGCCTGCAGGTTGTATCCATGGGGCGACCCAAGAACAAGAAGACACAGAGGAAACCCAATGAGATGGAGACCAGAAGGACAAAGCTGAGGCTCTTGTTGTTTGCCCTCACAATGGGGGTATCACCATAAGAAATAAATATACCCATTATTAAAAAAGTTAAAATGCAAAACAACAAAGTGATAGCAATAAAAGATAAAGACAAGTTATCATCAGTATAAGACAAAAACTCTATCAGCTTGGAATCACACCGAGTTTTGTTCTCATTTGGCCACTCGTGGTCTGGACACTTCATGCAGTTCTCACTTCCTAGAAAAAATAAACAATTGTGCGCTATTAGAACATAATCTGAGAGTCACATGGAGTGATACTTCACCTTAAATACCATATCTAACTCTCAAATGCTATTATCCCATTATTAGAACAAGTTTATATTTTTTAATGTACAAAGATTAGAAAATGTATTGGGAAAAAAAAATATTTATGAATGATCTCCAGTAGTGATGGGTTAGGTTCAGAGTGGTTTTGGTGAACCTAACTTAAATTTGGGTGCCAGATCTGAACCCCGTTGAAGTCAAAAGGAGCCGAATTGTATAAATCATTAATGGGCATTTTGTAGGCTAATAAGCAAGGGATTGACAAACAAATGGCATGGGTGGGTTGAGCAGTAACATGGAGGATATGTACCAAAGCAAATAAAATGTGAAAAAAAATAAATTTGGCTGGGATTTTAATATTGCTTAAAGCGCAACATTGGGAATAACGCATTCCCTTTGAATTACATGCTTGGGGGGATGACTTGGACCTGTCTGTGAAGTGGTGTGCCTGTATGTATACAATCTACTATAGCAAAACTGATATTTACAAAAAAAATGCTGCTCAAGTTGCCGGCACATGACAACTCCCGGCCACTTCCTTCTATTTGTAAATAAAGTGGCTGGGGATTCCCTTCATCTATTGCATATTGATGAGGAAAAGAGCCTCTTCTTCACAGCTCTGGCCTGGTTCTCATGGGGGTCTAAACAGAATCTGGAAGCAACCTTTAAGAATAAAGGGGACCCCCAGATTCCCCTCTGCCCCACATGAATGAATAGTACCCCTACTCATTCACAAAATAAAGCAAAAAGTAAATAAAGACACCAAGACGTTTGAGAAGCCTTTATAAATAAACAGCCATTAGTAATGTGCCATGCTGCACATCCATCTTCATTGGCGTCATCCAGCCATGTAGACCTTCGTCAAACACGATGAACTAGACCCACTGAAAACCCGCTGACCTGCCTGCTGCGATGGCCACTTACTGTGGCCCGAGCTGTCATCTGTACCGGTAATATAAACAGCAGGGCACTGATAGTGGTGACATAAAGCAAAAATTGTTTACTCAATAACTATATTCTATTTGTTACAGGATGCATTTTTGCAGCAATTTTATGTTTGTAAAATGTATTGGGAGACAGGAATTTACCTCTTTTAATTGTTGATATGTAACAAAATAATATAGAATGTGAAAAGTTTATTTTTATCCTAATCAGTTAGATGAGTTAGAAATGTAGTGTGCTACAGTGCAATGTATCGACTGAAGGCTTCTTATATCATGTGTTATGAGTATAATTAAAAATATGGCACCTATTCCAATTAAAAGTAATCCTGGTGCCCATTCGCGTGAGGTCAGGCCATCATGGACATGTCCCCTGAGGGTGAGGGGTCTGGGGGCTCACAGTATTCCTAATTAAGTGAGTGCCACACTGTCCTGGTGTAAGGATTGCTCACAGCCACTGCCACCAGAGAAGAGGAGGGACCTGTGACATAATCAAACTGATCTGAAGACTCTAGGAAAAAAGGTAAATATATATGTGTGTGTGTGTGTGTTATTTTATAACATGTATTTATGTATTTAAAGCAGCAAGGGAGACTTCATCAGTTCTGGTGTCACACACCACAACCAACCTTGGATTTACCTCTGAGGTGAAATGCGGGAGGATGAATGAGGGAGGAAGAATAATTGTAAAATATGTTTAAAGGAGAACTATAGGGTCAGGGCTTTTCCCCATAGTTCTCCTTAGGGTAACGGGAGGACACAAACTAGCGTCCTCCCGTCATCCTAGGCTCAGTATATAGAGAGCTACAGCTCGCGGTATACTGAGACGCCGCAGCCGGAGCGGATCCCGACCTGGACGTCGGGATCCACCCAGCTGCGTGAGTGACAGCTGGCTCTGCCTATCTAGAGGCAGAGCCAGCTGTACCCGCCCCCTCCCCCGTCCATTCCACCAGTCAGCGCTGGAGGATCGGAGCGGGGAGGGGGGAATCCAGCCCCTCCCCTGTCACGGCAGGGAGCCGTGACAGGATCGAGAGGTGAGCGAACGCTGGTATGTGTTCGCTCTCTTCCCGATCTACTGAGCCGACCTGGGACAGTCTCATTGTCACAGGTCAGCTAGAACTATGAGGTGAGTGTAAATCACTCACCTCATAGTTCTCCTTTAAGGCTAGGTTCAGATATGGGCGATCAGTGGATGCGCGTCCCGGGTCCGCGTGATCGTGCACAATTGCACACAGCGATTGCCGCTCGGCCCCATCGATTTCAATGGGGGTTACCTTCGCGCGGCAATAGTTTAAAAAAAAGGTACATGTTCCTTTTTTTGCGACACACAATGCGCGACTCGTGTTCAGTTGCGCGGGCGGTCTCGCCGGTAGGAAACTGCGCAATCTGCCCAACGCTCCTGGGGTGCCATTAGAAAATAATCGATCGGCGGTGGTGTATGATTTTTCGTGACCGCGCTGCCGTCGATGATTGCCGCGCGTTCACGGATTGCCCCAGGTGTGAACCTAGCCTAAAAATTTGAAAGATTGTCAAGTGAAAAAAAAATATAGCAGATCACGCTTCCAATCTATTTTACATCATTTTTACCAGTAAAAAAAAATGTGTATTAAAAAGTAATAATAAAATGCACCTGTTACATTGGACATCTCTCCTTCTGAGCATGGCACACAACCATAACAACATTCAAATGTATCTGAGCTCGGCACTTGTCTGTTTCCAGGTAAACAGTCCTCAGAACACTGCGATCTCGGGATCTAGATGAAAAATAATTTAAAGGGGATATGTTTAATTGATCATTTATTTAAATTAATATATTATGTGGCATTGCGTGGTGTGACCACGGTGTTAGGTGGCCTAAAAGTCACCCAGGATTCTCAGCCAGAGGGGCTGAGCGGCTCCAGGAAGCAATTGCTTGTACCAGGAAAGAGCCGGCTTCTCAGTCCTCTCCAGGTTTTCTGGATCATAGTTGGGATCCTGGAGCCGGGAGATTTCTGAGAGCTCTGGGTGGGATGAAATCTCCGTTCCTGGGTCCGTGCTTTAGTGGCAGGAGTGTGTTCAGGGCTCCTGCGGGGAAGAGGGACAGGTTGTGTCCAGGAGTCAGGCGGACTCCACCCAGAAGATAGGTCATCACCTTTCATCATCTCGTGGAGTCACCAGGCGGCCCAACCAAGTACTGATGGGGGGGGTCATAATAATCTGGCCACTCAGCGTATATGACCATGCTGAGTTGGTGAGTTGTTCTGGAAGCAATAAAAGACTGTTTTGTTTTATGCTAACGTGGTCTTTGAGCGCTCGCCATCTGTGCTAAATTCCCCAAACATCACAACTAATTAACTCAAATTATTTTATATGTTTTATTTACTACAATAAAATAAGACAGACAGATTTTTTTTTCACACACACCCTCTGTTGTTCCTGATAACCATTGTCAAAGGGACTGAAAGTAATGAGAAATCTTTGAGTTTTCACCAGAAGCTCAATAGAGAGGAAATCTTCCGATGGGGACACTTGTTCCACTGAAAAACAAACGACAAACGCACTCAACAATTTGTTACCAGTTACACAGTAAGGTGCACACGAAATGGGCTTTGAACAGTAAAACAGCAGGACCGCACTATAAGAGGTGCCTTGGCGCGGCAGTGCGGCTTTCACATCCTCTGCAGAAGACGTGTATCCCCATGTGCTCCAAGATGGAGACTCTCATAGTTTAGAGTTAGGACCGCACTATAAGAGGTGCCTTGGAGCGGCAGTGCGGCATTCACATCCTCTGCAGAAGACGTGTATCCAAACCTCTGTTATTATCCTTAGTGGTGAGACAAGTTGTTTTACATGCTGGTTTGTGAGTGTGCCATGATGCCTTTCTGCTGTTTTACTTGTTCCACTGAAATCACTTTTTTGGGGGGGAAAGATTTTCTCTCACTTCCTGTTGTGTTTACAGGACACATGATCATATTTGGAAAATTACATCATCTGGGATCCCTGTCTGGTTAATTTACATATAGCAGTTGACATGGGATCTGTTTTTTTTTGTTGTTTTTTTTGCTGGTAGTGAATAAAGAGAACATAATGAGGGGAATTTATCAAAACAGGAGCAGACAAAATCTGTTCCGCTTCAGCTGCGGCGTCTCAGTATACCGCGAGCTGTAGCTCCCTATATACTGAGCTTAGGGTGACGGGAGGAAGCTAGTTTGTGTCTTCCCGTTACCCTAAGGAGAACTATGGGGAAAAGCCTTAACCCCATAGTTCTCCTTTAAGTCAAGCATTTCGATATCTGGAGGGCTGCTTGATTCTGATAGATCTCCCTGCAAAGCCTCACATCCTTGTTGGGGGGCAAGATGAGGCCCCTGTCCCCTCAATATATAATAGATGCCTTGCAAGGGGGGAAAGACTTGGCTCCCCCCTTCCCCTTGCAAGATGATTTCCCAATGTTGAGGATATGTGGCTTGGTATGGTTTAGGGCTGTGCTGCCTTTCCTGGCCATCCAGGCTGCATGTCTGGATATGGGTCTGGTATGAATTCTAAGGGGTGCCCCGTGAATGTTTTTTAAGTTGGTGTGGGGTATTCCACCTAAAATTTACACCAGACACATATCCATACATGCAGTCTGGGTGGCCAGAAAATGAAGGGTAGCAAGCATGCACTTTGCCCCCCTCCTAAACCATACCACCAGGCAACAGACCATCAACACTGAGAGGGTACATTCCTCGCTTTCTAGTGGGTCCCCGCAGCGCTCTTCCCTCCGCCCCCTGCACGGGTGTCACCATTGGTCTAATGGAGGCACCCATACATGCTATTGCCCGCTCATTTCCACAGTGGCTGTGTTCGTCCAT